TGAGAAATAAGGAAATAACAAATAAATAATGTAAAAAAAATAATATTTGAAAAAAAAAGAATTTAAAAAGTTAAAAACAAATAAAAATAAAAGTGAATTAAAAGAAAATAAAGAAATTCAAAAAATAACCTGGTAATACATCATGTAATTACCATCAATTTGGTCAGCATGAAATTTGGTGTAATTGGAGGAGTGTAATTACACTCTCCAATTCTCAAAAGCAAATGTGAGAATTGGTGGTAATTACACTGTATAATTACAAGGTTGTTTTTTAGTTTCTTCCCTTTTTGTTGTTATTGTAATTTATTTTCTTTATAACTTTTTATCTATTATTTTAATTTTTTAATTTTATTTTTACCTTTTTTTGAAATTTTAAAATATATTTTTCTTTGTACATTATTTATCTTTTATTTTTCTATCTTTACTTCTTGTGATTCCATGTAATTACTTATATTTTATTTTTTATTTAGTTTATTATTTTATTTTTATAAACTACATCTCCTAATATTAGAAATAATGAGTCATTAACAAACTTGACATATAATAAGCGATGCAATTAAAGTGAAATTTCGTTGTTGAATGTGGTTATAACTTATTATGTTTCCTAATCTTAAGTTGCATCGGAACTTACTATTATTATGTTAGAATTTGACATATGTTAAACAATTTTATTTTATTTGAATTTTAAAAATGTATTCATGGTTTCAATTTGCTTGTTTTAGTAGTATTGGATCACATTGCATGTTGTTCATTTTTTAGTTAGAATTGATAGATTAGTTTTGTCAAATATTTGAATAATGTCATGACACTATATTTATAAATATTAATTTATTTTATCAAACATGAATTCCAATGTTCTTACAAGACGTATATTTTAAAATTTTGTAAGAATCTAAACTAAATATTATTAATTTTAAAAAATATAAATTATTTTTACAATATTAATTATAAATATATGATTATTAATTAATGTATATTCACGAAAAAATATACATCCTAAATACCAAATATAATATCATTTATACTTATAAAAATTTATAGGCATATATTTATTATATTAGCTTTTAAATTTTAATAATTACTTAATTTAAAATTTAATCTAATTGTGTAATTACACTCGTGCAACCAAATAATAAGCTTTGGATTACACTATAATTACACTATGACAAATAAACAGTTCGTCGTAATTACACAAGTGTATAATTACTAGACTATGTAATTACTACCCTAGTAATTACACCAATTCTAATTACAGGGTGACTTTCCAAATAGACCCTGAGAGTTGCAGAGTGTAATTACACCCAAATCCAATTATAGGGTGCCTTTTCAAACAGCCCCCCCAACACACACACACACACACTATATATATATAGAGAGGGGGGGGGGGTTTGCTAACCTACTACACAGTTGTAGTAGGTTAGCATTGTATGCATATTTGATTTCCCGAAAATACCCTCATTATTTAAGGGCCACCAAATTAAGCTTAAGGCTTTTTTGTCCTTCCCCAAATCCTAAAAAATAAACCCAAATAAATATGATCTTTATATCTTCCAGCTAGAATTGTGGCGGGAAATCTTTTCATTATATTTTCCATCTTCAGTCATGGTCTTCCCAAGTTCTAAAACGGTTTTCTTGTTCCACTAACTTTTCTTGCCAGATACCTTGATAAATATACTAATGAAGGTAAATGTTTAATATTTTTATGTCTCATTTTTTGCTGTTCAAAAATATTGTGTAAACTTTTATAACTTTCTTTCTTTCGATTTGTTTATGCGACCAATTATTCCATTTAGATTTGTCCTAGTTCTGAATCAAACAATCTGTATTGATAAAATTTTATACTTTTGCTGGCTTTGAATACAGATGCTTAATAATACTTCAACTGATTTTACAGTAGGTGTCTCAAGAAGTCATTGTCCATGTGGTGATAATGAATGTTATATTAATGGAGAAATTACTGAAAGATCAGGTGAAGAACTTAGGCATGAAAATATTGACATGAATAACAGTGATTTATACAAGGGCAAAGTGTTTAATAGTGATGATGAAGCTTATAATTGTTATATAAATTTTGCTAAACAAATTGGTTTCTCAGTTAGACGCGATCGCTACTTTGGACGTACAGAAGGTCCTATGAGAATTTATAGGAGAGATTATGTATGTCATCGAGCCGGTAGCCCTCGTCCTCAGAAGGTTGTAGAAAAAGAGCGACAACGAGATCGAAAATCTTCTAGATGCAATTATAATGCTAAGATGTGTGTTGCTAAAGAAATCATTGATGGAGTCACTCATTGGATGGTGGTGTATTTTGATAATGTCACAACCATGAACTATTGAATGATAAGGAAGTGAAATTTCTTCCTGCTTATCGAAATATTGATATTATTGATCAAAAGAGGATTACACTTCTTGCAAAAGCTGGATGTTCAATGAGTTTGATCCGAATAGTGCTTGAACTAGAAAATGGTGTAATGTAGGCCAGTTGCCTTTTACAGAAAAAGATATCAGGAATTTTATTCAATCTGAAAGTTCTGCCAATATTGAATATGATGCTTTGGAGCTATTAAAAATTTGCAAGAGTTTCAAAGACAAAGATGTTGATTTCCAATATGATTTCACAGTTGATGCCTGTCAAAGACTTGAAAATATCATTTGGGCATTTGGGGACTCTATTCGTGCTCATGAGCTTTTTGGAGATGTAGTTATTTTTTATACTACTTATCGATTGAATCGTTATGGGATGTCGCTGGGAGTTTGGGTTGGCGTGAACAACCATGGACATACTATTTTCTTTGGTTGTGTGCTATTACGAAATGAGAAGGCACCTTCCTTTTCATGGACAGTAAAGGTGAATATCATTGTATTCTCAAAAAAAAAATTTAATATTTTTTTTCTTTATTGCTAATGTCTATTTATTTTACAAAGTTTCTTACGGCTTATGAATGGAAAACATCCACAAACCATATTAACTGATCAAGATCTTGGTTTAACAGAAGCGATCACTAATGAATTGCCTCTCACAAAACATGCCTTTTGTATATGGCATATTACATCCAAGTTCTCTACTTGGTTTTCTTTTGCCCTTGGTTCAAGGTATCTGCAATTTAAATCTAAATTTCATCGCCTTTATGAAATTGGTAGCATAGAAGAATTTGAGTGTCAGTGGGACAAATTGATTACTAAATTTGATCTTGAATCAGATAGGCATATCAAATTACTATATGCAAATCGTGCATCATGGGCATTACCATACTTGAAAGGATATTTTTTTGTTGGAATGACAACAACAGGACGCTCACAATCTATTAATGCATACTTGAAAAGATTTTTACATGCAAGAACTAGTTTAAAAGAATTTGTTGAGCAGGTTGGTACAACGGTCAGCATAAGAAACCATGCCAATGAAAAGGCAACGATGCGACAAAAGTATTACAATCCTCAAATTAAGACATTTATGCCAATGGAGAAACATGCATCAAAAGTCCTCACACCTTTTGCCTTTAAGTTATTACAGGATGAGATAATATTCTCTATTGAATATGGTTTATTTTCAAATAGTGATGGATGTTATATTGTGCACCACTACAACAAAACAAATGGTGGACGTTTTGTCTATTGGAATCCACTAGAAGAGGTTGTTCAATGTTCTTGCCAAGAGTTTGAATTTTCAGGAATTTTGTACAGGCATTCTATTCAAGTACTTAATGCTCATAATTATTTCATGTTACCAGAGAAGTACTTGTTGGCTAGATGGAGGCAAGAAAATTCATTGGTACTAAAGTTTTCTCATATGATGAATCTCAATAAGGATGATAATGAGTTCCAAAATCTTCAATCTATAGTTAGAGATTTGATTCGTGAATCAGTAAAGACGAAATGTCGTCTTGATTGTGCCAAAAGAGAATTAGAAAGAGTATTGCAAGTTGTTCAATGTCTTCCTGAAAATGAGCACATCATTGATGAGCATGAACATGTTGATATTAGTCAATCTATAGAACATAGTTCTCCAAATGAAGATTATCATATTGAAAATCCCCAACAATCTCAAACAAAAGGAAGGAAGAAAGGGAAAAGGTTAATTGGTGGTGTTGAAGCTGCTAAAAAAACAAGATACTGCCATGTTCCTAATTGTGGTGGAACTGGTCATGACTCAAGAAATTATCCACTCAAAAGAAAAATAACTGAAATTCCAATATCTCAATCTCCCCACAAGTAAGTGTAGTTTCATTATATTTAACTCTTATTAAATTGCTAGATATTCATAATGTATATAAATTAAAATCAATTTTTTTTGTGTTGTAGGCTTCAAAACGGATGGACAAGGAAGCTATGAGGCGATCCAGTTGTTATGGAGTCCTTTTGCTCATTGAAAAAAGTCAATGTAGATTGTCATTGTTAATAGATAGTACTGCAGAAATCATAAATTGCAACAACTCATTTTTTGATTATGGATAGAAACATTTTTGGCAACTGAAAGAATCTGTTCTATATTTCTTAAAATGTTTAAGATGACTACAAGACGAGGGGGACTTTAGGCCTAACCTCCAATACTTACAAAATTCATAAATAAACTACTAATTTCTACAGACAACAATATTAGAGGTGACTCTCCTCCCTATTTCAAGAATTACAAGTGCTATAAATTTGAAAACTTGTAGAGCTTCTGTAGTATCAAATGTTTCTGCAGTCGCGCCCTCCAGCTTCTTAGTTTCATGCTTTGTACAATTTTAACCTTGTAAAACTTGAGACAATCAGTCCATGGATAAAAATAAGTTGCAACTTGAGAATTTCTGCAGATGTTGGAAAGACAAATTTTAGTTTGTAAAACATAGTTCGTGAGAGCATATAATAGATCTTAATGTCTTTGTAATATACAATCACAACTTAAACAATAATCCTACATTGCAAATCATAATTAATATTGCACCCTCCAGCTTCTAATTTATGATTTGTACAATCATAAGCTTGTAAAAGTTGAGACAAACAATGGGTAATACCTGTAGAGGTTGAAAAAAAATTCTAGTTTGTCATCACCCTCAATTTGTATCGCAACTACCCTGCAAAATACTTGATTATCAAAACGTTCTGTCTCAATAACTTCAAGAGCTTGCAAATCAAAACATTTGTGAGAGTAAACCGCTACGTGAAATGTACATCTTGATTTAAAAAATCTATTTTTGATCCAAGATTAAAACTTTACTACAATTAAAAAATTCACTCGGAACTTATCTTTAACCCCAAAATTGTGAGACAGATGCAAATTTGAGGAGTGCTTACAGTGACCCAACACTAGAACGTTGTGGTACCACCACCAGTGTCGATGTCTCTATGTTTCCCATCAATTTTACTTGTATAATATCAAAAATCCTGAATCATGGATGAACTTGCAGGAAGATCTATAACAAAAATCGACATTAAGTTGAAAAGAAAAGGGAAAATTTGGGGGACTATAGAAATTCTTCGAGATTTAGATTGGACTTACAAAATTGATATTGTAAGTCGAAAATGAAGTTTAAGACTTCAAGGAATTCATCTCTGCCAGTTGATTAGGAATAGAATGAGAAGAGGAAATAGTTAAATGGATTTCTGACGGGAGAGAGATCAGATTTATTTGGGTTTATTTTTTGGGATTTGGGGAAGGGCAAAAAAGCCCTTAAGCTTAATTTGGTGGACCTTAAATAATGAGGGTATTTTCGGAAAATCAAATATGCATACAATGCTAACCTACTACAACTGTGTAGTAGGTTAGCAAAACCCATATATATATATATGTATCCGGAGAGCCTCCAGGACAAGGAGGCGGCGATCAACCATCCACTCTCGAGATTCATATTGATCAATAGATCTCCGCGTCCTGCCAGTTCGCTNAGAATAAAAATTAGCAAAGGTTGAGACATATGTATATTTTGTCCACACAGTGATAAATAAAATTAGGTGTATCCCTCAAAATTTAACAAGTTTTTCTAGTTGTAAACTGAGAATAAAACGAGCAGAAAATTTGATAAAAAATCTAGCACAGAAAGAGATGAAATAGGAAGGAGAGTCAAAAAAAAAATTGGCATTGTTCACAAGAGTGCCATGTATAGGAGGAAGAAGAAGTTTGAGAGAAGTGTGTCTTTAGCTTTTCAAAAATTATTTTTATATAGGTGTTTCTTCAACAATTAATTTCCGACTAGTTAACGGCTAATTTTAATAGCTAATTTGATTATTGATTATAATATAAAACATTTTGAAACGATAGGATAACACCATCGAAACAAGCTGTTAGGTTGGACAGTACTTTAGTCTAAATTTTTTCATTATTAAACTTCAAAAGTGTCATTTATGCACAAATCGCTACAGTGGGGACAGCAGTTAAATAGCGACGCGAACTATCCTATTCGTGCAAATCATCCCAAAACTTTCATCAAGTCCAAAACGAACAGAGTCCAATATTCTTATGAGCCCAACCATATACCATACCACAACTCAATCAGGCCCATTGCTTGCCCCCCACGCTACCGTCAACTAATTTTGACCCAATCCTTTTCAAAAACGGAAGCCGAACTCCTAAAACCCCAGTAATTCTTCCGTCTATATGCTACTGGCTTCCCCACTCTATTGGCGCCTCTTCACCCAATCTATCTGCCGCCGTCCTCCGCCGTGTAAACAGTTTCTCCTCCTCCGCCGTTTCTCATCAGAACCACCAATGGGAAAAGCTGCGAAAGGTTCCGAAGCTAATTCCAGCGCCGTCTCCTACCCTAAAGACGAAAGTTATCTACAAAACGTTATTCCTAAACGTATCGCTCTCTTCCAGTCTATTCAGAATGAGCAACACCTTCAGCGCCTTTCCCTCTCCCCTGATCCTATCAAGTAAAACTCTAATTGTTTACTACTTAATTCAAAGAAGAATGACATTGATACTATTTGCATAGTCTCTTAATATTTTCAATTGCGAATTTATCGAACATATTTTATTGTAATAGACTGTGATTTTGTAGTACCTTTTTATGTAGTTAAAGATGTAAGTTTAGTTTCAAATCATTAGGATATGATGTCCCGTTTCACACTGAAAATTAATTTGAAAAAAAAATGGCATTGCTGCTCTTTGCATAGCCGGTCAATGTTTATTTATTGCGAATTTATCAGACGTATTGTGGTTCTATAGTACCGTTCATTAGGATATGATGTTCCGTTTCACACTAAAAATTATTGCAAAAAGAAAAGAAAAGAAAAGAAAAAGAATGGTGTTGTTTCTATTTGTATGGTAACAATTTTATGTAGATTACAAAGTTCTATTTTTTTTTTTTGGATTTTTTAATCATAAAAGATGTGATTTATAGTGTCATTTATTTGATTTATAGTATGTTTATGCAATTAAAGATGTTTTCTTAAGAAGTATTAGGAAACGATATTGATAACAATACAGGAAATAATGTTTCTATTCACCCTGAAATTTAGTTGAGGAGTATGGTATTATTGTTATTTATGGAGTCACACAAAATTTTTAGTAGAAATATAATTTTCTCCTATGTTTTTTGAAATATTTCTTAACTAAGCAGATTGTGATGTATCCTATTTTTATATGTAATTTTTAAGTTTCTCTCTCTCTCTCTCTCTCTATGTATATGTTGGAATGATGTTTGATTTACACGACATTGATTTATTTGGTAATAAGTTTCTATTTTAGTTAAACATTTGAATGTGGGGTATGATTGTGTTTAATTAGGATCGAGTTACCAAGTGGGACAATGAAGGAGGGGAAGAAATGGAATACCACACCATTGGATATAGCAAAGGAGATATCAAAGAGCTTGGCTTCAAACGCATTGATCGCGAAGGTGAACGGGGTGCTTTGGGATTTGTTGAGGCCATTGGAAGGTGATTGTAAGCTAGAGCTCTTCACTTTTGACAGTGACGAAGGCCGCGACACATTTTGGCACTCGAGTGCTCACATTCTTGGCGAGGTTTCAACCTTTTGTCTACCACATTTTGGTTGTGTCTTCATCAAGTTATGATCTTTAGAAATTTGTACTGCTGAAATACTTGCTTTGCTCATTCTTTCACTTTTGTTTATGTTCTTTTTGTGGTTTTGTTAGTCGTTGGAGAGGACATATGGATGCAAATTGTGTATTGGACCGTGTACAACAAGAGGAGAGGTATATTATGTTTGNATATGTTTGCCTAATCTTTTGAATATTTAAGTTATTCTTTTGAGAGTTTCGCTGTGATCTGGAATGCGAGAAAAACTATTTAGTGTTGCAATGAAATGAGCTTGAAAAGAACAGGATGGATATGGAGGATTTATAGTCGGCGACTTCGAGTCATACTTGATTAGTTAATCGATTAGTTCTTGGGTCTAAGTCGTGATATGGAATTTCTTATTCTCCTTACATGGCTTTTGGTTACTTGGCAAAGTTATGTCATTTTTTTCTTGGGAATAGATAAAACTGAAAACGTCCAGCTAGCTGGCTAATGATATGATTAAGTAGTTTCCTAAAAGTAATTTAACTGAAGCTGGTTATTGCCCGACTGCTTCATTTGATAGCTGATATCCTTGTCAAACCAATGGGACAATTCTTCATCCTACCATATCTTAAAGTTGTTTCTTTTACTGCAGCCACGAGCTCACAATGTGCCCTCCTCCTAGGCCATATAGCCGGCAGGGCCCTCTCTTTCATTATAGCTTATTCTTAGTCAGTTCATATTGCTTCCAACCTGTTCTGACATGTCTAAACTGCCACTGCAGGGTTTCTATTATGACGCCTTTTATGGTGAACTGGGATTAAATGAGGATCATTTTAAACGGATCGAGTCGGAGGCAGCAAAAGCTGTTTCGGTACTACTCTTTTGTCTCTCAGAACTGCCTTGATTAAAAGTGCAACTGCTTGTTGCCTCTTGTATTTTACATTTCTGCTGTTTTATTTTTTTGTCTCTTGGAATTTCTCTGTTCTGGTTGTTTGTAAAAGGGATTCTATGTTTTATGGTTGAGTATCATGTTTCTCTTTATTGCTACGTGATTTTTAACATAGTAAAAAGTTTCATTTTTCTTGCTGTATGATTAGGAAGTTGATGAAAGGAAAATACACATTCGACAGATTTGAATGTTTTGTGCTCGTCTTTTTTCTAGTAAATTCATGTAATAATAGAGTGTGCTGAATTAGAAGGAACTCTTTAGTTAAGAAAATCAGTGGAGCCTTTCCGACCCAGTTGTAGTATATTCACCAGATCAAGGGTCTAGACCACTATCTATTAATGTGGTGGACACAACTATACACAGTCAAATACTTGTATTGCTCTTGAATATACTCCTATCTTAAATGAAAATCTTCTTTCTTCTATGATCCTTCATACATGCCTAATCAAGAATGCAACGCTAAGGTTGTAGCAAGTTGTAGGATATAGCGATATAAGACTGATAGGGGTGTTTAGATCTTTCTCATCACTTAGCTAAGGCACCATTGGCTGTTGCAAATTTTTGTTTACTTCTCCTGCATTGTATTCAACATGCAACTAACTTCCCTTTATTTCTCAGGAGAAACAACCTTTTGAACGCATTGAAGTTTCACGGCAACAAGCTCTTGATATGTTCTCTGATAATAGGTTTAAGGTTGAATTGCTATGATCTGCAGTCTTGATCCTTCAATGCTTTTTCTGTGTGCAACATTTTCAGGAATCTCGCATCTTAATTTATTTTCCCCATCTTTCAATTAGGTGGAAATCATTAAGGATTTGCCTGAAGATAAGACAATCACAGTATACAGATGTGGTCCCTTAGTTGACCTATGCCGTGGTCCGCATATACCAAATACTTCTTTTGTTAAAGCATTAGCTTGTACAAAGGTGAGTTGATGCATATCCTCATAGAAGAAAGAGTCGGCCTATGTGTGTTGATGTGATCTTTTCTGATCAATCTTATGATTCTAGGCTTCATCAGCATATTGGAGAGGAGATAAGGACCGTGAAAGCTTGCAAAGAGTTTATGGAATATCTTATCCAGATAAAAAACAGTTGAAGGTGACTTTGAAAGCTGGTTACATCATTTAGGATTTGACTTTGATCTTTTGCCACTATGCCTTACTGATAATAATCAGAACCAAAAAAAAAAAAAGAATTGTTAAACTGCTTCATGAAAAGAAGAGCTTATGAAACTGCAGACTATTTCCTGTGCTTCCACACCTGCCCTCCCTCTAAAAAAGAAAAAGGAAAAGAAAATGGATAGAGAAAGACAGAGGAAATAATCCCTTATTTTACAGGTTTAGATCTCAAAGTTGTTTTTGAGTGGTAATCTTTGAGATATGCTTTGCTCAATTTTAGAGTACCCAATGTTTGCCTTTACTCTTTAGCCAGTTTTTTGGCCTTTTCTTGTTTGTGTTCCGATGTATTTACATATCCTTTTTTAAGCATGGAGAACTTTTCTTTTTTGGATAGGTTTTTTAAGCTTGGAAAACTGGTGCATTCAGCTTTTTCTGATTATATGAAATGAGAGAAATATGAGGATATATTGAGAAAGGAATTTAATAAAATCCTTTTTATTTCATCCATATTTTTGGTGTAAAGAAATAACTCTTTTTTTCCATAGATAGCTGAGTAGGCTTCATAGGAGATATCGAGAGTAGACCACATATAATTATATGTTATTTGAGTTCTAGCCTGATGAATTGATGAACTAATATTTGGTCTATCAGTAAAAGCAGAAGATGTCGCTTTTAGTCCTGTCCTTAGGAAGGAGAAAAGGTCACAGAACTGCTTCTTTTGAGGAATATTTAATAAAAGAATGTCTATTTATAGGAATACCTAGCTATGATCGAGGAAGCAAAGAAATATGATCACAGAGAGCTGACTAAGAAGCAAGAGCTTTTCTTTTTTCATCCATTAAGGTATACCTTGAAATTATTTGTACTTTTCACTATAGCTCAAATATTTCATAATACTTAATGAGATTTATGCATTTCAGCCCTGGAAGTTGTTTCTTTCTTCCACATGGTGCTCGAGTTTGCAACAAATTGTTGGAGTTCATAAAGAGCCAGTATTGGAAGAGAGGCTATGAGGAGGTAATTTGCTTGTGCTTAAGTATATTGGTTGCAAGAATGTTTTGAAATGCAGATTGGAACAATGGAAGTTTAGTTCGTACTGCACGGACTATTTGACTGGCTGGAGTTCAGTCGGGACATTTCTGTTCTTGTTAAAACTGCTTTTATTTCTTGATTTCATTTGAGATGAATAGTTTACTCCTAATAATGGACTGAATTCCTTCTGCCCACTGGACAGAAGAGATCCTCATCTGGTGTCTTGAAATTCTTCATTAACAATCAATTCAATCCTTAGATTAGATCAAAGCAGCAAGGATACTGACATATGTGTAATGTCAGGCGCAAACTATGGTGGAAATACACCATAATTTTAAAAGAATGAAGTGGGCAAGAGCCGAGTCAAACACTATTATAAGAAGTTTAATAGTATACAGGAATGCAAAAATAATAGCGAGGGAAAAGGCAAAAGCAGCCATTAGAACAAGGCAGGGAATGTGCAAAACAGTCATAGACTGAAAAAGGGCACTAACTTTGAGAAACAACAGAACGACTTAGCGGTTCTTTTTTGTATTCTATATCATATAGGCATAGTTGGTGTCTGGAACCAGGCACTCATTACTCAATCAAGGGACATTTTAATCAGAGGATACACGTCCTAAAAATATAAAAATGCAGGCACTAAAATATGTGTCTGACATGCTCCTATATCCATGTAATTTTCAATTTTGGCATCCATGCATATGACGAGATATTATGTCTTCGTCCTTTTCTTTTTTCCTCTTGGCCTATGAGTTGCGTCTTCTTTTTCTCTTTTTTCCTTTCCCCCTCTCAATGTAGGAAGAGAGATAAAAGATTGAACTATTGGATTTGGACCTCAACTGATAAAGTTGTGTGCTGGTTTATTTATGAGTGCTTGTCTTCATACATGCTTATGCAGGTTTGGAGTCCAAATATGTACAACATGCAGTTGTGGGAAACTTCTGGGCATGCTGCAAATTACAAGGAGAACATGTTCGTTTTTGAGGTAAAATTTTCTGCACTTGTAGCTGCTTTCATATTGTGGTGCATTTGAATAAGTTTTTCATTTTTTTAACAGCCTAATTTCGGCAACATTGATGCTTAAAGTAGGAATATTTTATGTCAGTAAGAGTAAGAGGAGTATGTCTCAAATATATACAGAATGAGGTGAAATTTCTGAGTATCCAAAATGGAAAGAGTGTCATATAAACTGGAAAAGAGGAATTACTTTCTTTTGTTAGCCAGTGATTGTTATATTGCATTGCTCTTTTTGGAGTATCCTCTTGCTTAGTTCTATCATAATAGCCATTATATTGGTCCCTAATGATAGTTAAGTTCTAAGATCATATTACATGCTTATAATATTTTGAAATCAGTTGTGTCGCCGAAAGGCTCAGAGTTATTGAATTATCTAGGATAAGTAGTATATAAATTCAATAAACATCAGTAGAATAATAGTATAATCTAGTTTAAAAAATGATAATACTAGTATATATGTTTAGAAAAATGAATAATAAGATAATTAGTAACTTTTTAATTAGTTCCAGTGTTTTCGATATGTTAAAATGTTTCATACAAAACTTTAGTAGTTCTATTGATGTGCTTACAAATTCCGAGTTGATAAGTGAGGAGACATGTATGTTTGCAAATATCTTATCTTGCTCACAAATTGACATGCAGGTTATTTAGTTAGGACAGGAAATGCCGGATTATATAGTAGAAACATGAAATTCCTTCACTTATTTGAGATATTTAGTTCTCACAAATAATCTAGATTTGTATTGTTGTACTCTTTCTTTCGTTTTGCTTAAGTATTCTGTTTATGTTTAACTTGAATAGGTTAGTATCTTGTTTTGTAAGTACTGCCTCTGGGTGAACATATTTAGCTAGGAGCTATCTTTGTTGTGTAATGGTTCTTGCTTCTTCGGGCTGCAGATTGAAAAACAAGAATTTGGGCTGAAGCCAATGAATTGCCCAGGCCATTGTTTAATATTTGATCACAGAGTTCGTTCCTACAGGGGTGAGCTTTTCCAATAGTTACTTTTCTTCTCTTGCTTTATTTGCATGTTTTTTGGTTTTACCATTGGTCTGGCCAGTTAATTTGGAACTAAGGCATGCCTGATCAGAAATTCTCATGATAACATAGAGATGCTTGACCATAAAATGTTGGTGCTACTAGTAACTGCAGAGGTGCTATTTGGTTGTCTATGATGTCATGCCGAATCAGATTGTCAAATTACAAGGAATCTCAAGGGATGAAATTTCATGAAATTTGTTGTCTAAAAGGGTGCCTGTTTATACCTGCAACATGCTCTCTGCAAATATTTGCCTTTCATGAAAATCCGTTGTTTCTCATTATTAATACCAGCCTGTAGTTTCTGCACCATAATTTTTTTTTTATATATATATATATACACACACACACTAACTAATAGCATTCTCATTCATGTTATTTTAACTGTAAGCAACACCTCAATGATTAACCAACAGTTCAATAATGCAGAGCTACCACTCCGTCTGGCTGACTTTGGAGTTCTACACAGGAATGAGGCCAGTGGTGCACTTACTGGCTTAACACGTGTCAGGAGATTTCAGCAGGTATTGTCACATTTTTTATTTCCTTTTGTCTTTTATAGATGAGCATGTAAGCTTTTTCTTAAGGAGCAATAGTGGTTTGTTTCATACACTAAGTTTTGCCATGTGTCATTCTGAAGAACCTCCTTCCTATAAAACCTTTATTACTGTCTCTTTTGTGCTAAGACAACCTCTTTTCTAACCCTATTGCTTTGCAGGATGATGCTCACATCTTTTGCAGGGAGTCACAGGTGGGTTATATGATTTATGACTGTGCAATGAACCTACAGAATTGGAAAACTAGTATGACCTAAATTATTCATGTTGCAGATTAAAGATGAAGTCAAGGGTGTCTTAGATTTCATCAGCTATGTGTATAAGATATTTGGTTTCACTTTCGACCTGAAGTTATCAACGGTACGACTTTTACCATTCCATTGTTTTTCAAATTGTTATAATTGATTTCAGCTAAATGTCGGTCCTACATGCATTCGTTATTATAGTAATGGTTACAGACAGTTGCCCTTGTTATGGAACATTTTTCGTTGTTCCATACTTTTTCTTGTCTGGAACGTGAGCTGCAAGTGCAACTGTTTTTTCCATTGTTCTTATTTCGGGATGTTTCTGTATATGGTCTAACATGCATTTTATGAGTGCTTTCCACATTTCTGTCGTACATTTCTCCATGTATATCCCACTCGTATTTCTGACTTGCAGAGGCCTGAGAAGTATCTTGGAGACTTAGAAAGCTGGAACAAGGCTGAAGATTCTCTTGCGGAAGCATTGGACGAGTTCGGAAAGCCCTGGGAGGTTTGCCATCAAATTTTCTTGGATCTGAGAATTAAAAAAATTTGGACTTTAGACATCATTTATTACAATTTCACACCTTTTTTGGTGCTTCTTTTGTCCCACTCTTCCATTTTGTATGCTACATCACTCAATGATGACACCATTCTACTATAAAGTTGTTTTATGGAGCTTTCACTTTTTTTAGGAATTCTACTTGACTTATATTTACTTTTTTACTATTTAAACTAATATTTTAAATTCCTTGCGCA